CAAGAAAAAATGAGGAGGCAGAGGAATATGTTCCATACAAAAGAACAGGATAAGACACCAGAAAGAGGGCTAAGTGAAGTGTAGATTACCAATTTTTTATAAAGATTTCAAAGTAACAGTCATAAAGATGGTCACTGATCTGAGGAAAAGAATAGATGATTTCAGTGATAATTTCATCAAAGAGATAGAAGAATTGAAAAGGAGCCACTCAGAGCTGAAGAATACAATAACTGAAATGAAAAATAAAAAGGAGCATATAAATAGGAGATTGCTGGAAGTAGAGGAGAGACTCGATGAGATGCAAGTTACAGAACAGGAAAACAACTGAGCTGAGGATTACAGAGGAAAAAAGGTTTCTAAAAATGAGGGGATGCTAAGAGAGCTGTGTGACAAATCCAAATGAAACAATATTCACATAACAGGGGGCCCAGAAGGACAAGAGAGAGTCAAAGGAGTACAAAGCCTCTTTGAAGAAATAATAGCTGAAAACTTCCCCAATCTGGGGAAGAAAATAGACACCCAGGTCCTGGAGGCATAGAGGGCACCTAACAAAAGGAACTCCAGGGAAGCAACACTAAGGGGAACTCCATAAGGCCACCAGCAGATTCCTCAGCAGAAACTTTACAGGCCAGAAGGGAGTAGCATGAAGTATTTAAAGTATTGAAAAGGAAAAGCCTATCACTAAGAATCCCCTACCCAGCAAGGTTACAAGTCTCTCCTCTACTTCCAGCAATCTCCTATTTATTTCCTCCTTTTTATTTTTCATTTCAGTTATTATAAGAATTGAAGGAGTGCTTATAAGTTTACCAGATAAACCAAGGCTAAATGAATTCACCACCACTAAACTGGTCTTACAAGACATTTTAAAGGAACTTCTGTAGATGAAAATGTTCATAAGTCTAAATATTTTCATCAGTGAAAATAAACCTGCAGTAAAAGTAGTAGACCAGTTACTTACTAAGCGAGTTAAAGTTAAAAAACAAAAGTAGTAAAATCAACTATACACAAAATAAGTCAAGGGATACACAAGAGATTTAGGTTTGACATCTTACACATAAATTATAGAGGCAGAAGAAGAATAAAAAAGAAGTACTTTCAGATTGTGTTAGAAATAGAGTGACCATCAACTTAATATAGGCTGCTTAATAAAGGAAACAGTCTATGAACCTTATGGTAACCACAAACCCAAAAAGTATGATAGATACACAAAAGAATTTAAAAAAGAAATCCAAGCATAACACTCCAGAAAATCATCAAATAATGAGGGAAGAGATAATAGAGGAAGAATGGAACAGAGAGAAACTTCATAACCAAAAAGAAAACAATAAAATGACAACAAGTATATACCTATCAACAATTACCCTAAATGTTGGTGGACTAAGTGCATCAATCAAAAGATACAGGGTGGCAGAACAGATAAAGAAACAAGACCCATCTATATGCTGCCTACAAGACATTTCAGACCTAAAGAAATACACAGACTGAAAGTCAGGGGATGGGAAATAATATATTTCATGCAAATGAAGAGAAAAAAAAACAGAAGTAGCACTACTTTCATCAGATAAAATGAACTTCAAAACAAAGAAAGTAACAAGAGACAAGGAAGGACATTCCATACACAAAGGAGTCAGTCCAAGAAAAGGATATAACAATTTTAACTATCTATACACCCAACATAGGAGCACCTAAATATATAAAACAAATACAAACAGACCTGAAATAGGAAATAACAGCAGCACAATCATATTAAGAGACCTTAACACCCCATTTACATCACTGGACAGATCATCCAGACAGAAAATAAATAAGAAAACAGAGACATTGGGGAACATATTAGAACAGATGGACTTAACAGACATATACAGAATGTTCAACTCCAAAGCAGCAGGATACACATTTTTCCTAAGTGCACATAGAACTTTCTCCAGAATATATCACATATTAGGACACAAAAAGAGCCTCAATAATTTAAAAAGATTGGAATTGTATCAAGCATCTTTTCATATCACAATGGTATGAAACTACAAATGTATTACATGAAGAAAACAAAAGAAATCACAAACACATGGAGGTAAAATAATCAATGGCTCAATGAACAAATCAAAGATGAAATCAAGCAATACCCAGAGACAAATGAAAACAAAATACAACAGTTCAAAACAGGTGGGCTTCTGCAAAAGCAGTTCTAAGAGAAAGTACATACCAATACAGGCTAACCTTAAGAAAGAACAGCAATCCCAAGTGAACAGTCTAAATTCACAAATAAAGAAACAAGAAAATGAAGAACAAATGAAAACCAAAGTTAGAAGGAGGGACATAATAAAGATCAGAGCAGAAATAAATAAAATAGAGCAGATTGAAAAAAATCAATGAAACCAAGAGCTGGGTCTTTAAGAAGAGAAAGAAAATAGACAAATCCCTAGTTAGTTTTATCAAGAAAATTGATGTTGGGAAAATTGGATAGTTACATGCAAGAAAATGATACTGGGTCACTGTCTAACTTCATACACAAAAGTAAACTTGAAATGGATTAAAGACATAAATATAAGACATAAAACCACATAACTCTTAGAAGAAAACATAGACAAAAATCTCTTGAACATAAGCATGAGCAATTTTTTTTCCTAGACACATCTCCTTGGGCAAAGGAAACAAAGTAAAAATGTACAATTGGAACTGCATCAAACTAAAAAACTTCTGTACAGCAAAGGACAGTATAAGCAGAACAAAAAGGTATCCAACAGTGTGGGAGAATATATTCATACATGGCTTATCTGATAAGGGTCAACATGTAAAATATATAAAGAACTCATATGCCTCAACACCAAAAAATCAAATGACCCAAGGAAAAACTGGGCAGAGGACCTGAACAGACATTTCTCCAAATAAGAATTCAGATGGCCACCAGGCACATGAAAAGATGCTCCACATTGCTAATCATCAGGGAAATGCAAATCAAAATCAGAATAAGATATCACTCAGACCAGTTAGAATGTCCACTATCCTAAATACAAGAAGTAATAAGTGCTGGTGAGGATGTGGAGAGAAGGGAACCCTCCTACACTGTTGGTGGGAATGTAAATTGGTGCAGCCACTATGGAAAGCACTATGGAGTTTCCTCAAAAAACTAAAAATAGAAATAGCATATAACCCAGTAATTCCACTTCCAGGAATTTACCTGAAGAAAACATAATCTCTGATTCGAAAAGATATATGCACCCCTATGTTTATCACCACACTTTTTGCAATAGCCAAGACATGGAAGCAACCTAAGTGTCCATCAGTAGATGAATGGATAAAGAAGAGGTAGTACATATGCACAATGGAGTATCATCCAACCATGAGAAAGTAAGAAATCCTGCCATTTGGGACAACAACAATGGGCTTAGAGGCATTATGCTAAATGAAATAAGCTAGATGGAGAAAGACAAATACCATATGATTTCACTTATATGTGGAATCTATAAATAAAAACTAAATAAAACTGAACAGCAATAGATTCATAGACACTGAGAAGTGACTTGTGGTTACCATGGGGATGTGTTGGTGTGGGTGGGTGCGGTGGGTGATGGAGATAAATGGGCACAAAAATCAATCATAATATAAGTTGGTCATTGGGATGGAAGTGCATCATTAAGAATATAGTCAATGGTTCTGTAACATCTTTCTATGTTGACAGATAGTAACTGCAGTAGTTGGGGTGAGGATTTAATAAGGTGAGTAACTGCTGAATCACTGTGCTGCATATTTGAAACCAATATAATATTGTATATCAACTATACTTCAATTAAAAAAAATGTTTAAGACCTAATCACAGCCAATGTTTAAAAACATGGAATATGGGAACATTGGTGTTAAATTTAGAGAGTGCAAGAGAAAAGCAAGGAAAACTAAAAGGAAAAAACCCTATACACATAAAATTACACAGTGCTTAAGCATATTATGATATATGCAAACAATCACACCCACATACAGGATTTTTTTAATAGTTTATAGTTTAATAAGGTAAGGTTAAATGTCAAATAAGGTATAATACCATTCTAATTTTAAAAATATATATATATATGTCCTAAAGGACAATATCACAACATAACATAATTATGAAACCTGTCTTAGGGTGTTGGTACTGTAGACAGCTATAATTTTCTATTTCTAATGCTAAGGGTGTAACATTTTAGCAATACACAATGATTATTCTTGTAATAGAAATCTCCCAAAAATGAATAAAAATATGTACAAATAAATGATTGCATAACCACTTGTTTGTCATCTCTGCTACAAGATGTCAAAATATGCTCCAACCAGAGAGCACAGCAGCTGCGCAGGAACCAGCGGGATGCCTGCCGGGAGCTCAGGCTGCTGCTCTGCCTCTCCTAGTTTAACCAGAGTGTATGTTTCTAGGGGGATCACGAGAAGATGACGGCGTGAGTAGTTCAGAGGAAATCTCCTCCCCAAAACATATATATTTACGAAAATACAATAAATACAACTATCCTAAAAGAGACACCAGTGGATGCAGTACAACAGCCAGGATACATCTACATCTGTGAGAACTCAGCATCACATGAAGAGGGTAAGATACAAGCCACGGCCAGACAGGACCCGAACACTCCCCCACCCCAAAACCTGGCGGGAAGAAAGGAGTCGGAACGGGGAGGGAGTGAAAGCCCAGGACTGCTAAACAACCAGCTCTAGAAATCCACACCTGGAACTCAGACACAAGGTGCACGGGGTGCTGGATATTAGAGAAACAGAAAAGCAAATCCTGTGAGCAGTTCCCCGCAACCAGTACCCCTGAGACAAAAGAAAGCGAGTGCTTTCTGCAAGTCTTAAAGAGACAGGGACCCCATAGCTGGACGAAGTTGTCCTGGCACAATTAGCCAGCAGCTGGGAATCCAGGGGAAACTTAGGCGCCCTAAACCCCAGGGAGGCAGTGCAGCTCTGAAGCCCCTCACGGTATGAAGCAGCCTGCCAGTCATTCCTCCAACTGTCGTGGACCCCTACACACTGGCCCAGTAGTGGGAGAGTGGCAGCGCGTGCCGGGGATGATGGTGCCAGAAGGGACTGAGAGCAGATCCGTGCACCAATGGCACCAGAGGAGACCAGTAGAGGCTTGTGCGAGCCCGCAGCAGCACGACCAAACAGCCTGGGCATGGCTTTGGGGTACCAGTGGCAGGGGAGCCAGAGGAGCCCGGTAGAGGCCCATGTGAACCTGCAGCAGAGCCAGAGGGAACAGGCACGCTCCCAGCAGCTGACCGGAATCCCAGCCCAAGGCACAGCCGCCCAGGCCAGGCCCAAAGGCTGCTGCTGGCACAGAGTTGCCTGGCAGGGTTGCCGCTAGCACGGAGGAGTGCACCTGGTGTGCCTGCCACTCCCCACAGGGCTCTGTGCTGCTCTGATGGACACCCCTCCCACAGCAGCTTAGGGGACTAACCCGGTGGCTGCTCCACGAGTGCGGGTAACCATCACAGGCAGTGGAGAAGTGCAAGGCATCCAGCAAGCAGGAAAGGACTTTCTTCTCCAAGCTGACACACCTGTAACCTGCCTACAGCCACTGCTATCACCATGAAAAGGCAAAAAAAATATGGTCCAGTCCAAGATAGTTCAAACAACACCTGAGAAAAGATCTGCAGAGGCAGAGCTAACCAGTCTTTCTGAAAAAGAATTCAAAATGAAAATTATAAACATCCTGACAGAGCTGCAGAGAAATATGCAAGAGCTAAGGGATGAAGTCTGAAGGGAGATTACAGATGTCCAGAGGGAGATTACAGAAGTGAAACAAACTCTGGAAGGATTTATAAGCAGAATGGATAAGATGCAAGAGGCCATTGATGGAATAGAAATCAGAGAACAGGAATGCATAGAAGCTGATGCAGAGAGAGATAAAAGGATCTCCGGGAATAAAACAATATTAAGAGAACTGTGTGACCAATTCAAAAGGAACAATATCTGCATTATAGAGGTGCCAGAGGAAGAAGAGAGAGAAAAAGGGATAGAAAGTGTCTTTGAAGAAATAATTGCTGAGAAGTTCCCCAAACTGGGGGAGGAAATAGTTGCTCAGACTACAGAGGCACACAGAACTCCCAAGAGACAGGACCCAAAGAGGACAACACCAAGACACATAATAATTTAAATGGCAAAGATCAAGGACAATGACAGAGTATTAAAGGCAGCCAGAGAGAGAAAAAAGGTCACCTACAAAGGAAAACCCATCAGGCTATCATCAGACTTCTCAACAGAAACCTTACAGGCCAGAAGAGAATGGCATGATATATTTAATGCAATGAAACAGAAGGGCCTTGAACCAAGGATACTGTATCCAGCATGATTAT